AGTCTTAACCATAAGACGATTCTCAGTTTTCGCGCAATGTACATAATTATTATGAACACAGTTTATTCAGCGCGTTCGTATCACTTCAGAGTTTATTTCCACTAACCACTGTCCACGCTATAAACCTGAAGGAGGATGACGTTTTTCCCCCTCACACGTTGAACCAATATTTAATTTTGTACGCATTTGCTTGCGCATGCGTGTTGTGCTTACCATACGACCCAATCCGAGCTATTTTAACACACGGCGAAAAACTCAAAGTGATTTCCAGAAGATGGCGACCGCACTGGTGGTGAGTCCCTTTGCTAGAATAGGTTATCGAAGCCCGATATATGCGGTTCTTTATCTTTCAAACAGCACGTTTATGGAGTATTTAATTAACCAGCGGTAAAAGACAACTAGGCGACAGTTTAGTCTAAATAATCGAGAGTCTGAGAAATCTTGTAAACTTTACCTCTGACAGGTAACAGAACTCGCTAGCAAAGCAACTTAGCATAGTAAATTATAGCCAGTTGTTTTTAAAATCTTAATATCAGCAATACTGCTTGTAAGAGCATTTACAGTAACTGTTTTTAAAGTATCGTTTACGCCGGGTTAGCACTGCGTTGACTGGGTCTATGCCCCGGTCGGTGCCCTGGGTTGAACTCAGATACTTGTATGAATGAGAGGACACCGGTAACGACTCTCGTGGGTTCCAGCTAACGTTAGCTGGAAACCAAATGTTGGTCAGTGTGGGGAAATGTGTTTAAGAATGAGCTAGACATCTTCTCTATAATGCTTTTTAAAGTGGCAAACTATAATAAATGCTACCCTTTGAGAAAACCTATTTCTTTTCTCAAGTTTGCTACAAGTCTGTAGATTCAAGCCATTTTACGTCAGCGTGGTTCCACGGGGAGGTGGAGCACTTAACAGGGCTAAAGAGGCCCTAAACATGTAGACACGACAGCATAATGTTTTCACAGGCATGGGTTGAAACGATAAAATATCGTAAGACGTTAAATTACTAAACCTCTCAGGCACAGTGTGCACACACTTGTTTATAATCATTAAAATACCAAAACAACTTGCACTTCTTTTTCTTCTAGGCGTCAAATTCCGTTCCTGCAAATGGTGAAACTGAGAAATGTGAAACAGCTGTTCAGAAGGTTGTGAATCCTGAAACGTACATCAAACATCCACTACAAAACAGGTAAGCATTTATCCATGTCTCTTTTCTTGTAGAAGTATAAATCGATACAGCTTATAACATTCATGTATCATTCTACCTTATGTGTAACAGTTGCAAAAATACTGAAGACAATTAAACTGTTATATTCCAGTAGTGTGAGTCTCCCTCTTAAATGAATTTTGCTCTTGTTATATAGTATGTTTGAGGTGGTAAAAGTTTGCAAATTTTTCTTCACTACCAACCTGACAAATGTAGACAGTATGCGGTCATACTCTGTAGTAAGACGTTTGTTTGTTTTTCCCAGGTGGGCTCTTTGGTTTTTCAAGAATGACAAAAGCAAAACGTGGCAAGCCAACCTTCGTCTCATCTCCAAATTTGACACTGTGGAGGACTTCTGGGCGTACGTTTTTGATACTTGTTGAGTTCATGCCACTCAGTATCATAGACTTAAATGCAAAGCTAGAATTATAGTATGGATGGGTTTCTGTTTTATTTATTTATTTATTTTATTTTTTTGAGAGAAAATGTTTATGATAATTCCTGTTTGTGTGTTTCAATGAAATTCAAATTGGCCTATTCGTTGAGGAGAGATTGCATGTATTCATATGCTATGCTCATTATACTAAGCTTGGAAAAAAGCATGCCCATCCTTAAACTATAGATCCTATAGTGTAGTCTCTGGGCCAATGGTGACCCTTACAAGTTATGAACCACTGTAAATTTTATTTGTCGCAGAGTTAACGCCTTATTGTGATGACATCTCTCTCCTTGAGAGAAAGTAAAAAGTATTTCCTGTGTTGTCTTCTCTTCCAGGCATCACAACAGACTAAACCTTCCTAACACTGCCAAATCCAGCTTGTCACAAAATATGAGCCTCACAGTTGAAAAAACAAAATAGACTCTCTACAACTTAACTAACAGTGTTTGATGTTTATGTTTGTCCTGTGCAGCCTTCAGTCATATGCTGAGTCTATGAAATAGGAATTTTTTTGTGTGTGTTGGTGCCAAGACGAGCTGTGGGTTGCTGGTGATGCGTGAAATTAATTTTCTTTAAAAAAATGCTTTCTTTCTTAGATTATACAATCACATTCAGCTGTCAAGTAACTTGATGTCTGGCTGCGACTACTCTTTATTTAAGGTAAGAAGTGCTTTTCTGTCTCTTTCAGTACTTGCAGTATCCCAATGTAAAATGACATTTTTCTGGTATTTCCTATTCTCTGGTTCACAAAAGTTGTTTTAGTAAACACTGAAAGTGGACCCCACCTATCGAATAATCAGAATGGAAAGGAGCATCTTCTGCATTAGGCTGACAATGGCATAGTCCGTGTGCATAGACTGGTTTATTTCAGCTTTTCATTTTATTGAAATGTTTTATCCAGTATTTCAACAGATAAACCTTCCAAAATTTAAAATCCCACAATAGAGTATGTTGTTTTGGTTTGTGGTTTTGTTTTGTTTTTTTGTCTTTTTCCTCTCCCCGCTGTCATAGATGAGGACAGTTGTGAGCATACAACTGTCTCAGACTTTAGTTAATACATTAGTTGTCTGTTAATGTATTAATTTCTTGATGACTTGTATGCAACAGTGATGTATATGGTGTGGGCTTGTGTTTGAATACAGGATGGCATTGAGCCCATGTGGGAAGATGAAAGGAACCGGCGAGGCGGCCGCTGGCTGATAACTCTGTCCAAGCAGCAACGTAAAGCAGACCTGGATCGGTTCTGGTTGGAGACGGTATGTTGCGCCCTCTTGTATTATTGGTTGCTCTAACAGAGTCATCATTCTTCTCATCTATTGGCCTTGTACAGTGTGTATATTTTGACACATGGCAATAGGAATGTACAGTGTAGATAAAAGGATGAATTCCATGTAGCAGTCCTTGCAGTCTTTCTTTTTTTTTTTTAATAGCAAACTACATGTCTCTGTAAAGCACTTTGAATCACCTTGCTGTTGAATTGTGCTATACAAATAAACTTGCCTTGCCTTGGCTTACAACTGTGACAAGCCAGTGAATGCTAAGTACACAACTTTCCAGGTACTAACTGCATTTAAAACAAAAACATGTGTCCACAATAACAAATCTTTTAAAAATTCATATTTTCCTGCAGCTCCTGTGTCTTGTTGGAGAAGCTTTTGACGACTACAGTGACGATGTTTGTGGAGCTGTCATTAATGTTAGAGCCAAAGGTGATAAGATGGCTATATGGACTACAGACTATGAAAATAAAGAGGCCATCACACACATAGGGTAAGTTGAAAATGCCACAATTATAGATGAGGGGAAAAAAATCTGAGCACATTAGATGCTGTTGTGCAAGTTTTTGTTCTTTTTCTTTTTCTGTCTAGAAGTATGATTCAGAATGATGTGTAGTATCATATAGTATTAGTCTTGGAGTAAGAAGCCTGTTACAGAAAGATGTAACAAAAGTGGTTTTTTTGTTTGTTTGTTTTTTTTAAATGACTGAGTTTGTCTTATAGCTACTATGTAAAATGTCTTTGCTTTTTTTAGGCGTGTGTATAAAGAGAGGCTAGGCGTTCCATCAAAAGTGATCATTGGTTACCAGTCACATGCAGACACGGCCACAAAGAGTGGCTCAACAACCAAGAACAAGTTTGTTGCCTGAGGATCCAAGGATTATCAACC